AGCCCACATTCTAGGAAGAAGAAAGAGGCAAAAGGGATGTATCCTAGTTTTCCCACTTTTATTGAGAGAGCAATAAATTTGTTTTTATCTCTAACCAGGATACTGTGCATGTAGGCTACAAGGTTGCTTGGTTACCACTCGTGGTAGTGAAGGCATCCCAAGCAGAGTCGTTAAGAAAAAAGGGAAAATACCTAGTTTAGCACTGTTTGCCTTAAACTTGGTGTCACAGTTTGAAGCTTGTTGAATTTCAAAACTATAAGCATATAAGATCCCAATGATGAATAAACTGAATGTACTGTATACTTAAAAAGTACCAATAAACTCAATAAAAAAGAAATAAAGCTATAAGTAAAATTTGGAAGCAACCCTTTCCTTTTGAATAAGGAAATGACTTGAGCACATGTTTTCTTATTGGTGGTTCGGTCTAGCTCTAGTTTTCAGAGTGCTGACTAAAGGTAGTAAGTGATCAGAAGTGCATTGGAAAAGGAGAGCTCAGTTTGTTGAGTAAGTGACATTACAGGGTAGTGAATTTTACAATTTGGGATGAAGTTTGCTTTTATCTGTGATGTTGCCTGGTTACTGTGTTCTCTAGAAATTATCTTTCAACACTTGCTGAATTTATCTGATGTTCTTCCATGTCTTACTTGGCCAAATTCTTGCTCTTTAGCATATTCTGAAGTTTTTATGTTATCTTTCATTAATAGAAAGTATAGGAAATATTTCTCTTCTTTTGGTACATTTGATACATTTCTCACAAATACATTTATACTGCTGAGCATGATGGCAACAACGCCTGTAATCTCAGCATGCAGGAGGCAGAGGCAAGAGGATTGCTGTGAGTTCAAGACCAGCCTGGACTAACAGTGAGCTTGAGGCCAGCCTGAATTACATAGTGAGATCCTGTCTCAAAAAAGCAAAACAAAAAAACTTATACTCACTCCACCCTGTTTTTAAGAAAATCTATTCTGAAAATATATTTACTTTCTATGTCTTTGTCAGCCTCAGTTTTCAAAAAACATTATTTGAACTTCTAAAAAGAGTAAATTCTACATTGGTTGGTAGGAAGTCCTTATTTCTTAAATTGTCCTTGTGAGAATTTCATTCTTTCTGAGGAAGCCACTCTATGCAAGAAAGATAAATTCTTTGTGTAGTTGCTAGGTTAGAAAACCTTGTAAAAGATTTCACATATAAAAATTTTAAAGATGAAAGAAATCTAAAAATCTGCTTGATATATTGTTATTTTATCTTAAATGAATATACATTTTTGTCTTTATTCCTTCATCTTTATTTTTTTCAAATTAGCCAAACTCAGAGGGGTCTAATAAGTTTAAAAACTGTAAAGCTTTGTAATGATTACCTTCAAAAAACAAAAATACTATGCCCCCCCATAAAGGTGATTCTTTCTTTAATCTTGTCCTGTGAGGGACAAATGCTATATAATTTTAATTAGGGAAAATGAGTGGTAGAGGTTCATTTCCAAAACCTCACTTTTAGAAACTGGACCATAAACCACAACCTTGGGAATCCACTAGGTGGGGTAGTTTTATAATGTTTATTTCACTACCACTGTGACTCTGGCAAGCCTTTTAATTTGTATCTCCAGTTCATTCAGAATTCTAGCAGAGATGGTCAGCTTCTAATGCTAAAGTTCAGAAAGACTTAAATAAAATATAGTGGCACAGCTTGTGTTGAAGTAGTTGTGTTTCATTGAGTTAAGAGGGCTTATGTTTTATAGAGAATAGGCCTAGGAGGTCAGTAAGTAGGTGGTAATTTGAGATAAGGATAAAGTTGGAGAGAATAATCTGACCAGTATAATATGTGCTGAGATAGTGGTTGACATAGTTTTGCTCATTTATGGACTAGTCACTAGGGACATGAGGTGTAGGCAAGGCAGGAGTCAAAGAGGAGGTAAGAAATGAAACAGGGAGAGGAGCAAAAGAAAAAGCATTGGATATTGGGACCAATTCTCTTATGTTATTGATGAAAGATAGAAGTGCAGGGAAAAAAGTGATATTAGCAAATAAAAATATAGAGAAGCCAATTTTGACATTATCCGTTGTCATGATCCTTATAGCTTTCTAACATCCATTCTCTAATAGGAGGTATTGAATTAAATTTTTTCTGCATATTGTTGTATAAGACATCATTTATGATTTGTTTCAATAGCTTTTCTTATTTCAAGTGTATTATAGGAACTTGAACTACATTATTTACCATAGCTCCTTACTTTTCCTTATTCTTTATCTCTGTATGTTGGTGAAGTGAGGCTTCCTGATTGTTTTTTGTGTGTGTTTAATCAGATCTTCTGTTTCTGGTTTCCTGTTTGGGGGAGATAATTTGTTTTCTAGTACCTTTATTTTCCGTTCTGAGTGTGAATTTTGTGTAAATAAGAATAGTATTAAGGGTAGGGGAAAGCTAATAAGGGAAAAGAAAAAATAGGAGAAAATGAAAAAATGGAAATGAAGTGTTTGTAAATGGGGAGGGGAGGAGGAGTGAAGGGAGGGCAGGAACAAGGGGAAAAATGTGAACCAAGACCTGCCATGTAAAGGTACAAGATCCCAATGATTAATGTAACTGTATAGTATACCTAAAATGTACCAATAAACTTAATGAGGAAAAAGAAAAAAGAATAGTATAAATTTTGGAAGAGGATGTGCTTCATTTCAGAACTGAAAAATAGAATCTTTTATCTTTAGAATGGATATTGGAAGATTCCTTATTTTTAGGAACTTGATACTTTAATCTACTAGAAAAAGAAAGCTGTTTTAAGAGATTCCCATCAGAAGAGTTTCCATAACTTTTTTTTTTTTTTTTTTTTTGGTACCAAGATTGAACTTGAGACCTTGTGCTTGCGAAGCAGGTGGCGGAACCACTGAGCTAAACCCCGAGCCCCATGGCATCTTTTTTTAATGTTCTATTTAGAGAAATTTTTCTGATACCTTACCTAAAGTCCATTTGCTATTGCAAATGTTTACATTTTTTACCATGAAAGGTACATGTTTAACATGTGGTTACTTGTACATGCTGCACTGATGTACCAAATATTAATGTTTAACAGTCTGCTACACTCAGAACAAAAATAGGAAGAAACACGGTGGGAATAATAAGTGAATTTGAGGGTAATGGTGGGTATTGAGTAGCTTTATTGATTTCCTTGCCTAACCACTATGGAGCCTTTGAAAATTAGCACCATTTTCTTCATCATTTCTGCTTCTACATGTATGTTCTGTTTTCAGATTGAGAACAGCTGGCTGCCATCCTCCCTGTAAAACTATTTTATTGTCACTTCTCATGCTATTTTAGAAGCTGCAAAGAGTTCCTTTCATCTTTCTTCAGAGGTTTTATTTTTCACCCTCTTAATCATCTTTGAGTCTCCTCTGAATCCTTTCCAATTTTTATTTTTCTCAATGTTCCAGCTGACAGAGTGTCCTGAGAGTATCTGACCATTTTCGAGTATCATGGGAAGAAGATATCACCCCCATACAAATGCCAGAGTCCACTTCATATAACCTTAGACTATGTTTGCTTTTTGAAAGTTTAGTCACATGTTGCTGACTGGTTGTTAGATTTTTATCTCCAGTGACCTTGATCTTTTCCTCTTATGTTTATTTATAGCGTGTACACTCACTCATCATCTTTTATTTTTGGAGGTTATTTTTCTTAGCTGGGTATGCTGCTTTGCACTGTCATTGAAATTCATTGCCTTTTATTTTTTGATTATTTCACCACTTGATCCAGTGTCATTTCCATTCCTGTCTTCCAGTATGGCAGACCCATAGGCTTCCTATTCTCTGGGCTATTCAAGGTAGTAATGCAGATGTTTTAAAAAAAATAAGTGGAGAACTGTTTTAGAAACAATGACAGAGCACAATTTGCTAATATTTTCAAAATTTCCTCTGGTAAGTGGCCAAGTTGGGTGATGAGAGCTCTGTGTGTTCCCTCCTTTCATGCTTTTTATACTTCAGAAATCCATCTCCCTCACCATCAGTTTGGAACCTGCATCTCCATGTGACTGTGCCAAGAAACAAAGAAAGCAATTCATCTTGTACACTCCTGTCAGATTTAATCTGATCATGGCCTTGTACATATCTCTTCCTATTCCCGACTTTCTGTGGCTTCCTATCACCTGCTTAATGAAATATAAACATTCTAGTCTGGTGTTCAAGAGAAATTTTGACCTGCGTCTCCCTTTCCTGTCCAATTGCCTGACACTGTTTCATACAAAATTATTCTGTGGATATGTCTCACACTTTCTGAGGTCTTGGTTTATTTGTTTTGTGTGCTCTACTTAGGATATTCTGAAGCTTTTTCTTCTGATTGCTGTCTGTTAAAAATTTAGGATGATTTTTTTTTGGTACCAGGGATCAAACTTGGGACCTTGTGCTTGTGAGGCAGGTGGAGGAACCACTGAGCCAAATCCCCAGCCCATAAGACCAATTTATTTCATGTCCCATTCTTTCTGGATTTCTCCATTTGAATATAACCTTTTTTTCTCACCCCCTAAATCCTTATATTTTTGAGTATTATATTTTGTCCTGTATTATAGCTGTTTGTGTGCCTTTTCTTTTCTGGTAGACTGTTTTTTTTTTTTAGAACTATCTCTTCCTCATCTTGCTAACTTTGAGTATACCTAGCATATATTTGCTTAAGTAATTGAATATATGTAAATTTCTTCTTAGAGTATTTGTGGGGATACATGTTAAATAGACAAATTATATCAGTTTAAGCACATTATATAGTGCATTCAATTTAAATTCTAGCATTAGCTCCTTATCTATTTGCAGCCTGGTAACAAGGTTCATAGATAAGCAGCCAGCCTATACTTTCAGTAGTATTGTTATACCCTATGTTTTTCTCTTCTTAGAAAAATTCTAGATGCAATTAAAGGTTTATAGTGATCACTGTTAGTTGTTGAGCAAAAATTTCAGACTCCAGACCTGCTTGGTTGCTTAAATTTTATTTCAGAACTTGTTTTGTTATTAATATTTTTTATTTTCTAGAAACTATCCAACTCTGGCCAATATTGAAAGGAAGAAAAAGTTAAAACTTGAAAAGGAAAAGAGAGGAGAAGTATTAACAACAACACAGTATGGGTAAGTTCCTCAAAATTGCTTGTATTCCTAATGTTCATTATAACTGAGTATACAAAAGCAATGTACTGAGTATACTGAGCAGTACAAAAGGGCATAAACCAAAATTTTAAAATCACTACAGTCCTAATTCTGAAATATTTGCTTTTAAAAAAAGTGTAGTTATGTCTTAAAATAATTGTTATTTATATTGATATGATTTTAAAAGGTGTATATTGAATAAGACTTTTCCACCTTTTTTCAAGTGAGGTTCCTTTCAGAGGTAATCTATTTTATCTTCCAGAGAACCTTTGTCTATACAGCATATAGATGATAGATATAGTATTTCTTCTTCTTCTTTTTTTTTTGACACTATTAACCTTTTTCAGACTTTCCAAATTTTACTTGGAGATTATTCCATATTAATATATAACAAACCTCATTCTTTAAAGATATGTAGGAAACTTAAAGATGTTCCACAAAGTTTTTCGTTTTTACCAGTTTTCTATCAACAGACATTTATGTTCTTATAAATCTGTTACTAATTAAAAGTTGCCGTTATTGCCTTTGTACATAAAAATATTTTACAAGGGCGTTTCTGTGGATAGATTCCTAGAAATGATTTTGCTGAGTCAAACAGTATGTGAACTTGTAATATTGCTAGATGCTGCCATATATCTATCATAGAAACTGAGCCACTTTGCTTTCCCACCAGCAATGTATCTTTTACTTTCCTTGAATTTTTTCAGTTTTTCCATTTTATTTACATTTAATTGATCATATAATTAATTAAAATATGATAATCCTGAATGTACAAGTTGAAGTTTTACATGTATGTGTACATGTTTATGAACACTCATACAGATTAATATACAGAATATTTTTATCTCACAAAGCTCTCCTAAATTAAGCCTTCTTGAAGATTTCGCTTAGTAGCAACATGCCTGCCTTGCAAGCGCAAGGTCTTGAGTTTGATCCCTGGTAACAACAACAGAAAAAGATTTAAATGAAGCCTTCCCCTGTTCAATGCCTCCCTATGAAGTTAACCTTTTTTCTGATTTCTATCATCATAGATTTGTTTTGTCTGTTCTTGGAACTTTGTGTAAATGACATAAAATGGTATGTATTCTTTGGGGTGTGATTTCTGTAGCTCAAAATTACTTTGTGAGATTTATTCATACTGTATTTAGAAAGAGACATATTAGAGATAAGTAAAGATATTTTATAATGTTAAAAGGGTTTTTTGGTTTTTGTTTTTTTAGTATTGGGGATCAAATTCTGGACCTTGTGCTTGCAAGGCAGGCGTCAAAACTGCTGAACTAAATTCCCACCCCTAAAAAACACTTTAAGCAGACTGAAATAATACAAAACAATTCATTGTGACCACATAGAAAGTCAACCAGAAATTAGTAAAAAAACAAAAAGTGGAAATGCCTTAACAGCAGTACATATTACTAAAGCTGACTCAAGAAATTAAAAATAAGAAATTTTCTAATTGTTACCTGTTAGGAAAATTGACTCTATAATTAAACACTTTGCTAAAAAAAAAAAAAAGAAGAAGAAAAGAAAAGAAAAATCCAACTCTTAATGGGTTCACTATTAAATTCTTCCAACATTAACAGAATAAATACTAGTCTTATAAAAACTCAGCAACGGCCAGGCATGGTGGTGCATACCTATAATCAGTCCCAGCACTCTGGAGGTAGAGGCAGGAGCTTTGTTGCAAATTCAAGGCCAGCCTGGGCTGCATAGTTCAGGACCAGCTTGAACTACATTGGGAGACTCTATCTCAAAACAAAACAAAAGCTCGGCATGGTGGTGCCCGCCTATAATCCCAGCACTTGGGAGGCTGAGGCAGGAGAATTGCTGAGTGAGTTCGAGACCAGCCTGGGCTACTTAATGAGTTCCAAGTCAGTCTCAACTACATAGTGAGACCTTGTCTCAAAAACCAGAAACAAAAACAAAACAACTCAGCAGCTCATTTAAGAGTTCAATATATGTAATTTTGATATCAGAACCTCATGGGGACATTACAATAATGAAAAAAACTGGTAAAATTCGTCATGTATTCCTAAAAAAACTCCTAGCAAATAAGGAATAGGAAACAATTTCTTTAATAAGGGGTATCTTTCAATATCCTAGACCCAAATCATTCTTAGTGACTAAATAAATACTGATGACTTTTCCTCTGACACTGGGAATTAGATATGGGTGTACACTATTACTATAGTCATAAATTAATTTAGCCAAATATGTGTAACATCAATATTTTTAAAATCAATTATGTTTTTATGAACTAGCAACATATAACTATAGAGTGAAATTAAAAATAAAATTGCCATTTACAATTTTATTTTTAAAAAAAAGAGCCCCAAATAACCGGAAATAAATCTAATAAAAGATTTGTAAGAATTCCACCCTAAAATCTATGAAATACTGCTCATAAAAATTAAAGCCCTAAGTAAATGAAGAAATATGTAATATTCATGGGCTAAAGATAGTATCATTATATTAATTCTCCCCCAAAGTGATCATAGTCAAAATCATAGCAAGTTTTTTTATTTTAATTTTTAGCAGAGTTTGGGGAGACTAATATGCTTGAAAATAATATGAAAATACAAAAGATTTAGAGTAGCCAAGAAAGAATAATGAAGATTGGTATTGGCCAAAGATAGATGGATAAATAGAACAGCATAAAGTCCACAAGCAAAACCATTGATAAATTGCCTTACTTATGATAAAGACAGCAGTATAAATCAGTGGAGAAAGGATAGTGTTTTTGGCATTCAGTTCTTATTTTAAACATTTTGTATCTATATTTGAAGCATGTCTCTTATATAATACATAGTTTGGTCTTTAAAATTCTAAAACCAGAGTCAAAAATCTTTGTCTTTACCTAGTGCTTTTTACATATTTAATGTAGTTATTAATTTATTTGGATTTTGACGTGCCAAATTCCTATTTTTAAAAATTTGTTCTTTGTTCCTTGTTTTTAGGTGATATATTTTTAAAAACTGTTTTCCTCTCCATTAACTTTTACTTTTAATTATTCCTTTATTTTCTGCATTTAACATACATCTGTATTTTTACTTATACCTTTTGTAACTACTTTAAAGTGTTAAGTACATTTTTCCTTTCAAATGATTGTCAAGCAGTGATATAACAATTAACTACTCCCTCAAAGGAGGAGCGGAGTGCAAATACCAGACATACTACTTACTCAGTAAACCTTATTATTTTACTGTTAAGGCTCTTCTTTACTCAGTACTTGCTAGTGAATACCTTAAAGATGATTTTTCAAAAGCCAGTTAGGGTCAAATGCTGTCGGAACAGAATACAGGGAAGATGTCTGTGAGTGCATGGAGCCAGTGGACCAGAGGTGAAAACTATCCAATTTGCTTGTTGAGTTCTTAGCTTGACATCTAAGGATGGATATTGGAGATTTGTTCATGAAAATTTAGGTTTTTGGCACAATTGGGAATAGAAATGTGTGTGTATATATATATTTTTTTTAATTGAGATTTTTATAAGGATTCTAAAGGACTATGAGCCTTTGGGTTATAGATATAAATTGAATATCTTAACTTAGCAAATTATTTGGAAAATACTATGTTAGTTCTATGTGTACATTTAGGGGAGTAAACAGTATCAGGACTATACTAATAATATAGTCTAAGGAAAACAGATGGTAAGTGGCACAATAGAAATTTGGACCCAGATTTGTAATACTGTACTCCTAACCATGGCCTTCATTATTAGTGAAAAAAAATTTTTTTGCCTGATAAATGGAAAATTGGAAAAGGATGCATATCTTTGATAAAAACTCAGTTACTCCAAAGACTATTATTGTTTACTGAGAATATAGAATGGACCTTTATTAAATGATCTTTCCCCCACCTAAGTTTAAATTAGAAGATGTTCACATAACTACTTGTTTTCTTTCTAAAAAAAAAGTAGTTACAAGGTGGGTGTGGGTGTTCACATAACTACTTGTTTTCTTTCTAAAAAAAAAAGTAATTACAAGGTGGGTGTGGTGGTGGTGCACGCCTGTAATCCCAGCACTTGGGAGGTGGAGGCAGGAGGATTGCTGCAAGTTCGAGACCAGCCTGGGATACATAGTGAGTTCCAGGGCAGTCTCAACTACATAGATCAAAAAAAAAAAAAAAAATTGTTACAGATGTTTGAGAGCGCTTTTAATTTGAGCTATTTTAGAATTGTGCTAGGACTGTGCTCTCTCTATAAGAAAGAGTAATACCTGTCTATTCTTTTTCAAAGGGTTGTCATGAAGATTAGAATTGTGCTAGGACTGTGCTCTCTCTATAAGAAAGAGTAATACCTGTCTATTCTTTTTCAAAGGGTTGTCATGAAGGTCAAATGAGATAGCATATTTGTAAATGCTTTAGAAAGTTTAAGACTTCTTAAAAATGAGTAGACATTATCACAACTGTATATGCTCACCCATGTTTATAGCGGCACAGTTTGTAATAGCTAACCCTTGGAAACAGCCCAAATGCCTATCAACTGGAGACCTGATAAAGAAAATGTGGTTTTTTAAATAAAACGGAGTACTACTCAGCCATAAAGAATGAGAAACTACAGACACGTAGCTAAATAGATGCACATTTAGGGCACACGCTTAAGTGAAATAAATAGGACACACATGTAAATTCCAAATAGTTTCTCTGGTGTGAGAAACTGAAGGTGTAAATGTGGATCAAAATGAATAATAAATAATGTGAAATAGGAAGAAAAGGTCCAAAGGGAAGGAGAAGTGGGAGGTGTAGGGAAAAGGAAAGAAGGGAAAGGAATAAATATGAAAAAAGGAAAAAATGGAAACAAATAGAGAAGGGTGGAGGGGATGAAGGGAGATCAGGGGAGTGGGGGGAAAAATAAGAACTAAAATCTATCATGTAAAGGTAAAAAAATCTACCTGATTTTCTTGTGGTATCAACTTAATGAATAAAAAAAAATGAGTAGACAAGAATGAATTTACTTTTTAAGTTCTAACATTTTAATGCACAACGGGAAAGAGAACACTTATCAGCTAATCTAGTCTGTGATGATTGCACAAAATAGCTCAATTTCAGACTAAAAACATAGGTGGAAATGTGTAGTTGAGATGAATAAAATGTAGCACTTATGGGATGTGTTCCTTTTAAATGTCCAGGATTTTCTCTTTTTTGGAACCACAGGGTTTCATTTATTTTCATATCTTCAATATATTAGTGTACAAGTAATTAATTTAACATCTTGTTTTCTTTAGTGTTCAGTAGCTTTTTTTCAGATTTTTCTTGAAAGATCAGTAGTGTCTTTCCTAGTGAGACTTGCATTTTTCTTACTGCAGCAAGATGAAGGGAATGTCCAGACATTCACAGATGGCAAAGATCAGAAGACCTGGCAGACATCACAAGTGGAAAAATGATGGTGCTAAACAGAGACCAGTCAGTGGATCAGGCAGTCACTTCTGTGGTTCCAAGACTGAAAGTCCACCTGAGGCACATGCAGATCCTCTTGGTGTTTTGATAAACAGCGATTCTGGTAAGCTAAGTAGGAAAATAATGTGTTTATAAGTGTGTACATGGCAATGCTGAAGTTCATTATACATAGCCTTGTTAGTGAAAAGTTTAATGGCAAGGGGCCAGAGATTTAGCTCAGTGGTGCCAGTGCCTACCTGGCAAGTGCAAGGTCTTGAGTTCTGTCTCTGGTTGTGGGGAAAAAAAATAAGTTTAATGGCAAATACATAAAAATGTAGAGGAATATACAGTTATGCTTTCATTTTTCTTTTTAAGAGGAGTGATCTTATCAAAAACCTTACTTCACAACATCTTTTCTTAGGGGTGGATGCATAGGCCAGGCAGACCATGGGATAAAGGTTATATTGTTGGATAATTCCCAACGTATAATCTTGGCAATTTTCTAAAGATTTTTTTTAATTCCTGGGAATGCACATTTGCTTGATTACTTACATTTTCCCCAAATCTGTAAAGCAGTAATTCTATGGAAGCTAGTATTGTTTATGCAACTGAGCACAAATATGATCTCTTTGGGCAAACAGTATTCATTGCATTTGCATAATAGTATTCTTCCTCAAAGAATAGAATGATAGAATAAATTTATTTATGTTTATAGTTCATCATAGAATTTAGAATTTATAGGACAAGTTGACTTTTGTTTATATGTCAAAAAATTAAAGCATTAAAATACTGCTATCATATATAGGTATCATTCAGCCTCTGAGATTCCATTTCCTCTTCTGAAAAAGAAAATGTATATGTACCATCCTGAGGCTCTTGTCTAAGTATATGTGCTTCATATTTCTTAGGAATACCCAAAGATTTTTAGTAAGAAGATTTTCATCTCTATTCAATTTAGATGACAGTTGTTTCCATGATAGTCACATGGCAAGTTATTGAACAGATGGCAAGAAATGCGGGGGGCATGTAACTAATTCATTGACTGAATTAGGATAGAAAAGAATCTTGGTATAAGGGAATGTTGGGTTAAGTATAATACAATAAAATTTAGCAGGATAGTAATACTAAATCATCTTAGCACCAGCCAACCCTTACCGAGTAAGGTACTGCTATGCTGCAATGCTTCATATGTGTTAATTGATTTCCTTCTAACAGCCTTCTACATAGATACTAATATAACTCCTGTTTTAGAAATGAGGACCATAGAGATTAAGAAATGACGTTTTCTTAGTTATATTGCTAATTAGTGACAGAAGAATTTGAACTTAGTACTATACATGTCCTCAAATGTGAAGTCTGAATTTTTGTTGTTTTGTTTTGTTTTTTGTTTGAGGCAAGTGCTATACCACTGAGCTACATCCCCACCCTGTTTTTGTTTTATTAAAAAAAAGTATTTCAGTATATGCCAATCTAATAAAACAAGAAGTAAAAGATAATAACTTCTATTTTGACTTGTATCTAATTCCTTAAAAGACGCTTTAGACATGAGAAACAGTGTTAGATCCCTCTTATCCTCATTAGTAGAAAGTATTAGAAGGTACTCAGTTAGATTCCCAGGAGCAATTGAATGAGAGATTTCATTTTTCTTTTTCGTGCCAGAAATCAAACTCAGGGCCTCATGTTTGCTACGCAGGCACTGCCCCACTGAGCTGTATCCCCAGTTCTGAATGAAAGATTTCAGATAATTATGTTTTTGGTTTAAATGTTGTAACCCTTACCTACAGTGAGTGCCAAACATAGGGACATGCTTGCTTTCTACCTCAGAGATGAGAACATTAGTCCTGAATATAAAACTCTTGCAAGATCCTGGGGAGGGACAACAAACAAATAAATAAGCACTGATCACTTGAAACACAAGAACAGGATCAGAGGGTTGAGTCTTTCAGCACTGCCAGACTTCCAGGGAAGGAAGAGCTTAAGTTATTTGTTGTGCCCAGGAATTAATCACCGTGCCTGTGTAGTAAAACTTCCATAAAAATCAAAAGGGCGGAGTTCAGAGATCTTCCAGATGATGGACCTGTAAAGGATCCTGCAGATGGCTATGGCAAAGAGGTTGTGGATGTTTCATGCCCCTTTTCCTATACCTTGCCCTGTGCAACCCTGCAACTGTATTCTTTGTAATGGTCTTTATAATCAATAAGTGTTAAAAAATTCAAAGAACCTTGTTAATATTCTAAAAAATGAACCAAAGAGACTCATGGTGTAATGTTTTTGTTCATTGCATTAGATTGCTTTTTTTTGTTGCTTTGATCATTAGCAGCATGATTGTGTATGTGTGTGTGTGTGTTTGTGTGTGTGTGAGAGAGGAGAGAAATGAAATTTACCCTAGAAAAGTACCACTAATATTTTAATAGTAGAAATTATTTCAGTTGGTGTTTTATAATTCTAAAGTTTTGTTTAATCATTTTGATTGCTACTATTTACTGATATTTTTAGTTCAAAGGATGTTTTAGCTGCTTTTTTAAAAAGTGAGTGAAGTTTTTTGAATATTATTTTGGTAGCCAGTACAATATCTTCATCATAGTCTTTCCAAGATAGGCTCTAAAAATGCCTGCATGGGAAAAATGAAAAGCACAAAATTTATAAAATGAAAAAAAACCTTTCTTAACTTATGAAAATGACCACTGATCACATCTTTTTAGAACTGCTGGTTAGATCTCAGTGACTTTGGAATAAAATAGTTTGTTTGTTTTTGTGTTTTTTTTTTTTTTTTTGTCATTGTAGATGTTGGGATAGTACTAGAAAGACAATACTCCTCTTCAAAGAGCTTAGTCCCTTAAATATATAATGTTGTTGGAGGGGGGAATAGTTGTCCATATTTATAAGCTCCTAACTTTATCCCTTGGGGAACAGTCAAGTGTAGTGAGCTTTGTGACTTTCCCAGTAACAAGTATACCTAGCACTGAGATCATGGATTCCCAACACCATTCATCAGTCTAACCAAGACCTCTTAGAGAAATGGCTGATTATAGGGCTGGAACTGAGAAAATACAGGGCAAGCCTAGAGGATTTCATAGTATCAGAAAGTTCTCAAAATTCTGAACAATGTTGCCATGTCAGAGGGTTTCCTAAAGAATTCTCAATGACCAAATTTGGAACAATTTGAGCCACAAAGTAAATAATAAATTATAATTGCCACCCCCAAAAGTAAATATTCATTTTACTTATTTAAATTAGTACTTGAATAAAGAAATACAAGTGAAGAGGAATGAATCTTTCCTATAGAAGAATTCAAGTAAATAAATGTAGAAGAAATAGTAATTGTTTTATGCAAGATCTCCGGACAAATGGCAAAATTAGATGTAAAACTTCTAAGTCGAAACAGTATTTTGCAAAGCCTCAAAATATCTCCTCCTAAAACATTTTTAAATGAATAACATGATTTTAACATTTGTCAGTTTTTTGATACTTGAGTTAGAGATTAGTTCTTCAAGGAGTTATGACAACTAAATGTGAAGTGCTATGGCAAATTAGATTTTGGAACAGAAGAAAAACATCAGTGTAAAACTGGTATAATTACAGTATATAGCAATAATTTTAATTTGCCAGCTGTGATAGATGTACTTGGCTTATGAAGGATGATAACATTAGGGACACTGTAGAGGGTATATGGAAACATTCTGGCTATTTTTGTAATACTTGTGTAAATCCAAAATATAAAGTTAAAAACAAAAGGAAGGAAGAAAAAAAAAACTAGACTAATTAGGTCTTGCTTTATGCTTCTTGAATTACATTATGAGGAACATTTTTTTCCAGAGTTTATTTCCTTTTGTTTTTCTGTTTTATTTTCTGATTACAAAAGTAATAGAGAATATATGGGAAAAAAACTGAAAAGCCCAAAACTTTTGTTGTTGTTGTTGTTTGTTTTTTAGTACCAAGGATTGAACTCGGGACCTTATGCTTGCGAGGCAGGTGGTGGCATCACTAAACTAAATCCCTGTTCCAAGCCCAAATCTTTTTAAAAAGCCTACTTTCTTAACTTATGAAAATGACCACTGTTCACATCCTTTTATTTGCCCTTCCAATGTTTTTCCTATACACATGCATGATTTCTTTTAATAAAAAAAAAATGGGATCTTGTTATATAAGAAAGAAAATGGTGTGCTTTGGCTCCATGAAGATCTAGGTTTCTCTGTGCTAGCTAACTTTTTTTGATGTGTCTTACATGTATAAAAATTTGTTCTTCAAATGTTTTTGAGCATTTATGTGCTGTTCAAGTTTGTAGGGGTACAACATTGAACAGAGTGGAAACCCCTTCTGTCATGTAGCAGCTCTTCTGCTTGCCAGAGATAAAGTAAACACATTCATAGTATTTTGGGTGAGACCAGTGTTGTGAGGCTGAGTAAAAGGATAGAATAGTGTTTGGAGAAGAAGTTGTGCTATTTTATGTAAAATTACCAGTGAAGGCATCGCTAAAGGTGACTGGAAGAAGACATCTGAGTAAAGTGATAGCTGAGGGGATAGCAGCCTCAGCAGAGAGAGCTGCAAGTGCAGGCGCCCCAGGAAGAGGTGCCTTGCATGGTCAGGAAGCAGCACAGCTGGAGTGATACAAGCAGGAAGAAAGCTGTTTGGTTTGTTACTAGTGGAGGTCAACTCAGGTCAGCTGTGTAGGCCATGGTAGGTCTTAGGATTTTACTCAGTTTGAATAGAGGTATTGATCTGATTCATGTTTAGTTGAAGCAGATCATAAATGAGAGGACAGGATCTTTAACAGGGTATCTTTTAGGAGGTTGTTAGAATTGTCAGAAACGTTACCTTGGAATTATAGTAGAAATGGAAGGAGTATGAATTTGGATGTTTTCAAATTGAGTGGATAGCAGTTCTTTTTGTTTTTCTTTTTTGGTACTGGAGATCGAACTCGGGACCTTGCACTTGCGAGGCAGGCGGTGGAACCACTGAGCTAAATCGGTGCCCCCCACCTTTTGATACCGGGTATCAAACTCGGGACCTTGTGCTTGTGAGGCAAGCGTGGCCCCACTGAGCTAAAATACCCAGCCTTGGAGAGCAGTTAATGATTTGTTGTATATGGTATGAAAGAGAAATAGGATGATTTCTAAGATGACTGCTAGGATTTTGGCCTAATCTGTAAGATGAGAGAGTCAGCATTTATTGAAATGGAGAATACTGGAGGGTGTGTTCCAAGAGGAGATCAAATATTTTGTCTTTCTACATGTTTGAGGTAACTGACTTGTAGGCAGAGATGTTGAATGAGCAATTAGGATTATTCTGGACCTAAGGAGAATATTGAAAATTAATGGTATAAATTTGATTTGTCAGCATATAAATAGTATTTTAAGACTTTAGATAATATGAAATCATCTAGGGAAGAAGAGGCATAAAGAGAAAAAAGATCTCTTAGAATTGGGGGCTGAGGATTTAGCCCAGTGGTGCCCCTCCTGCCTCACAAGTGCAAGGTCCTGAGTTCGATCCTGGTACCAAAAAAAAGAAAAGAAAAGAAAAAAGAATTGGGTCTGAGGCCACTTTATAATTTTGGAAGTTGGTCAGTGAGGAGAGTACAGTAGGGAGATGGGGAAGAGAGAGAGCTAAGTGAAGGTGTTTTGAAACATATTGCATAATTATGTACCATTAGATGCTGCTGCTTTTTTTCTTGGTACTGGGGATCAAACTCAGGACCTTGTGCTTGCAAAGCAGGCAGTGGAACCACTGAACTAAATCCTGGCCCACCAGCAGATGCTTTTGCTGAGTTAAATAAGAAAGCTAAGAAATGACTTTTAGGTTTGGCAACAGAACCCAAGTGAACTTGGAAGAAAAAGTTTCACTGGAATGTTGGGCCTGAAAAACAGATTGGAGTACATTCTAGAGTGAGTCAGACAGTTGAAGGAAATTTCAGGTCCAGATGATTTCTCTAGTAAATTTTATGAAATAGCTGCTTGGAATTTTGCTATTAAAGAGAAAAAAGAAATGGAGCTATTGCTGAAAGAAGACATTATTAACATTACTATTGGCTGTAAGTATATTTTGATAAAGTGGCTTCATTTAAAAAAAGACTTTTTAAAATCTGCAGAAGGCATTCTAGCTCACTAGTTAAGAATTGGGATTTGAAGCCTGGTGTGGTGGGTGGCATACACTTGTAATCCCAGCTACACAGGAGGTTGGCTTGTTGTCTTAAGTTCTTAGAAGTTCTAAATAATTAAAAACTTTGGGATGATTTCATTTCCATAAAGCTCATTGACTAAGCCCATAGTATGGCTTAAGTATTATTTTAGTCCTGAAAACCAATCTTGCAAACAACAAAAGGGGTGGGCATTTTTTGTTTTATTTATTCCTAAGTCTAATTTTTAGAGTTAATGACCCTAATCGGGTAAAGTTAAATAAAATTTCGGCTTTCTCCACTACCTGAAAATTAATAGCAAAGACTGTAATTAACTTAATTTAGGAAGGCCCACATTCCATAGCCTGTGAAGCATGCTAAGTTAACTGAGCTGTGTAGTTTCCATTTGTCCCTGTATTTCCTCTGGAGTAAACAGATTCTTTTCTCAAGATTTAAACCAAGGAGAAATTTTTCATGCCTCCTGAAATTAATTTTTGGGGAGGACTAAGGAAATGATCCGAAATGCTAACATGATAAAGTGGAGGATGGTCACTTTTTTTTATTATGGTGGTGAATGTTTTGAGGTACACTGTTTAAATCTGTTCTTTCTTCCATCTTAGAGTCTGATAAGGAGGAGAAACCACAACACATAGTTGTACCTAAGGAAGTGACACCAGCCTTGTGTTCACTGATGAGCAGCTATGGCAGTCTTTCAGGATCAGAGAGTGAGCCAGAAGGTAAGTCATAGCTTCTGTTGGTAGGCTGAGGTGTGTTTTACTTTGTTGCTTTAAACTTTAGTATATATTGTATACTGATATCATCCAAGGTACGTATTCTTTATTTGAGCTTCAAATTCCTTTTTCATTTGATTCAGAAGTAAAGTGAACATGGCATCAAGGAAAGCTCAGTAGAGAAACACATGTGCTACTCTAGTAGGATAAGGCAAAAACATACAATTAAAGGATAGAAAGGAAAGGAGAAAATAGCCACTACTGGAATTAAAGACAATTCTAAAAGAAATAGCAAAAATAATTAATTTATTCTCTGCTCCTAAAAACCTTTATTATAACAAATTTATAACACTTTGTGGGTGAAGAAAGATCCTTTATGACAAAGAGAATGATAATTTTTAATGCATATAAAATTGCTCTATATAGAGCACATTTACATAAATTATCTCATTTGGAAGATAAGCAACTCTATACTTGTGATGTGTTAAGCTGTATAAAGGTTGGAAGAAAGGAATCCTTGCAAGAGTCTTCAGAAGTCAGAAATAATTTAGGATGCATGTTTTAGCTTTAAAGATGATTACACAGATGATAGCATATAAGGCCTGATTGCAAATTTAGGGCCACCTAGAAGAGCTATTAAATAGACTAATGATCTGAAGCAGTGTGGCAAATTTTAATCCAAAGCTTATATCAATAATCTAGCATATGTTTAGCAAGTAAACCTATGTCCTACTGTTGTGGAAACCTGTATCTGCATTGTCATTTTATTTAGATTTACCAGGCATTAAATAATTCATGTAAAAGGGGCCGGGGATTTAGCTCAGTGGTTCCGCCACCTGCCTTGCAAGCACAAGGACCAGAGTTTGATCCCCAGTACCACCAAAAAAATATATATTTCTGTATCAGGAAAAGTAAATAGAGTAAGAGCCATCTAATAATAAGACTACAGCATCTTAAAGTATGCATATGGAATGAAGGGAAGATTTGAATATAATTAGATGAAGGTAATATTTAATATGGACGAGGCTAGAGACAATATTTGTATATTTGTTAACTAAGGAACAGTTTGGCTTTAATATGTAACATGAAGTTTATGAGTTTTTCTTTAATGGTCTGTGGCTTATTCTGGTAGCTTGTTAAAAGCTATTTGAATTTTGAAATTTAAACTACTTTGGTTTTCTCAAAGTATTCCTTAACAGATGTTTGCCTTGTTTTGTTTTGTTTTGTTTTAATTTTAAGAAAAAGTTTTTCTTACTCTGTTTCTTATACACTGATAGGAAGGATTACTCTTTAAACACATATTACATTTCTTAGCTGTCAATTATATTTATAACAAGTGATAAGAAATAAAACTGTCACCAGATTACTGGATCACATAAAAACAAGGTGAACTAATACTTTATTCTCTCTCTCAAAATGTTCATGTCTCCATTTTGAGACCACCACCATATTTTAAATTGGAAGAAGGAAATGAAACCAGAATGGCTCTTTGAGGTCATGCCTTCATTTAATAGAATCTTAAGCTTAGAAAGGGTAAGTTTGCCATGCTAATAGTGGCAGAGCTGATTAAAATCTAGGTTAGGGTATTAAAATTTTTTTTTGCTGTACCAGGGATCAAACTTGGGCCCTTGTGTTCGAAAGGCAGGCAGCAGAACCCCTGAGCCAAATCCCTGGGCTTAGGGGATTAAAATTTTATCTAAATAAGTTAACTATATTGCTTTCCCTTATATTCCTTTTCTGGGTGGCTTTTACTGTTTTCCTGAATAGTGAAATCTTCTATTTTCTCTTGTAAATAACAGGATATCATCTAATAAAATGTATATTTGATTTTGTATAAATTCATTTTGACTAATTAAAATTCCCTGCTTTAAGCAGGATGCCCTTGCTTTATAGTCCCAGATCTTAAAAATTATTTTAAGGGGCCGGGGATTTAGCTCAGTGGTTCTGCTGCCTGACTTGCAAGTGCAACATCCCAAGTTCAATCCCTGGTACCAAAAAAAAAAAAACTTTGATATTAAGATTTACACAGTCTTAAAATTATTAAGACTTAATAATTACTTATTACTATTAATTAACTTAGTAATTACTTTTAAACTTTAATAATTAATGTCTAATAATTCCTAAGCATTATTATATATAGTTTGAGTTCATTTTTATTGAGCCATCTAGTCACTAGCAAATCACTAGCCTTTAAGTATTAATTAGGCCTCTAGGATGGGATGAATAAAGAAAGACTCCCTCATGACTAAAGCAATGGAAAAGTTACATTCATATCTAGGGCTGTCAGAATCTTTAATACATGAATAAGAACAAAAACTTATGAGAAGTATTTCCAAATGTCTTGGTCTGCTATCTCTCCTGGATCTTGCTGCTCCCTAAAACTGTTTCTTCAAACTGGTTCAGCTATGATAAGGAGAACTCCAAACTGAAAATTGATTCAAAGGCCACAAACTGAAGAATAGTTTGAAAGAACTGAATGGCAGTGTTTAAATTTTATTTGAATTGATGAACATTAATATCTAATGCTTAGCTGGGAAATATAAACTTCAAAAAAGAAAAGAATGTAAATGGTCTCAATTCCTGTTTCTTTAATAGAAAATTGACATTATATGCTGTGATTCATTTGACTTTTGTGTTCCTGGTTGAGTGATCAATTCTTGAAGAGGTACCAATTGCAAGCCCCAGGTTATTTTACCTGTGCTTCTGGCAAGTGGCTGTAAGTCAGGGTTCCAGCTACCTCCCTCCTTGTATTTGATTGATTTATTAAAGCAGCTCATAGAACTCAAGGAAGGAATCACTTACATTTATTGGCTTATTATAAAGGGTATTACAAGTAATACTAGTGAATACTAGGTGAAGAGGCTGATAGGGCAAAATATAGGGAAAAGGGTACAGAGCTTCTATACCCTATCTGGTCTGTTAACCCTCCACAAGTTTAGCTATCTGGAAGCCTTTTGAGCTGTCCTTTGGCTTTTTATGGTGGCTCCATTACATGGGAATGATTGATTAGCCATTAGCCATTGATGATCAACTTAACCCTTAGACCCACTCTCCTCCCTGGAAGTGGGGGCAGTGAAAGTTTCAACCCCATAGTCCTGCCTTAGTCTTGTCAGTAACCAACCTCCCTACCCGCTTCCTGAAGCTACCTGGGGTCTGCCAGCCATCAGTATGTATGGTATCTTTTTCTGTCGTTTTACTTTTAATTTAGGACAGGTAGTCTTTACTTAATAACTTGGATTTAATCTCAGTTCAAACTGTAAGGCAAGGAATGTTTGTGTTTTAATTTAGTTTCTTGTCATCAGATCTCACTCTTTTTTCCCCAGTGTCACCATCTCTGCCTCTTAAGTGATGTGTTTAGACCATTTACATATAATTTATTGATATGGTTGATTTTTATTTGTCTCGTCTATTTTTGTTCCATTTTTCCTTCCTTGGGATTAATCTATATTTGTAAGGCAGGGCAAATTATTTTGTAAGCTGTCCCTCTTGGTTTAGTGTGGCCTAGGGTTTGTAGTATGGAACTTTCATCAGTGTACTTTGAAATTATATTATTACTTCACATATAATTTTAGAATTTTTAGCAATATACTTAATACTTTCCTCCTCTCTTTTGTGCTATTATATAAAAATATAGTTTTATTTTTAATTTCTACTGATGTTATAAGCCCCACCTCACTGATAATATTTTTTTTGCTTTAGGGCTGGGGATTAGCTCAGTGGTTCCACTGCCTGCCTTTTAGATGCAAGGTCCTGAGTTTGATCCCTGGTACCAAAAAAATAAAGCTTTTTTGCTTTAAATAGTCAGTTATCTTTAAATTCTTTTCAAACAATAGAGGGATACATTTTGTGTTTGTCCACATATGTACTGTTTCATCCATTCTTCCTTTGTTTAGATTCAAGTTCTATCTGTTATTGTTTCCTTCCTTGGGATCTCCTTCTATAGCTCTTTGTGGTAGTCTCAGTTCAGGGTAGTTATAGCTCCCAAGTTTAAAAATATTGGAATGCACAATCTTCGAATTTGGAAAATATTAGAATTGCAAAATCATTTATATTTCTAAGTTATTAAGTATTATGGCTGTGAGGATTATTACGGCTCTTTCTATTATTTCTCAGAGTTATGTTTTTTGTGTTTTTGTTTGTTTTTCATTACCCTTAGAAACTCCTATCAAGACTGAAGCAGACATTCTGGCAGAAAACCAGGTGGTTCTGGCAGAAAACCAGATAAATAGCACTACTCTTAAGAGTCCAAGACAAGATGTTAAAGCAACTGTTAGAAATTTCTCAAGAGCCAAGTGTGAGAACCAACAAAAAGGTTTTAAAAGGACAAACTCTAAGAGGAAAAAAGATTATCATAACTATCAGACATTATTTGAACCAAGAACGCACCATCCATATCTCTTGGAAATGGTAAATGATTTTTCTTTCTGCTGTCTTGTTTGCATTATGTGATAAAAAGGTGGTGCCACTGCAGTTTTGTTGTTGTGTGTGTTCTCCAGTTACCACAAACATATGATTCTTGAAGACCTGTCTATTGTAGCTTAATTCTAAAGTTGCATTTGGCTTATAGCTGGTGTTCAGTAAATATGGAATAATTGTACTTTTCAAAACTTGTAAAATTGAAAAAAAAAAAGGTTTCTACAAAAATACAAATGTCTGTTGAAAACCAGAAAATGATGGAGAGAAATCATCTAGGGTTTTCTAACGGTTCTCATTTCCTGTGCTTGGGGACTGTCTTTACTTTTTCTATACGTATACGTTTACATTTGTTTATTTATTTATTTATTTGGTACTGGGGATTGAACTCAGGACCTTGTACTTGCAAGGCAGGCATGGTGCCACTGAACTAAATCCTTGGCCCTTCTATACCTTTATTTGTATTTATTTTGTTCATTGTTGGCTTTCTCAGCAGCATTATAGGCTCAAAAACTGAAATCAAGTAGAAAAAGCAGGGTGTTCTAAGAAATGGAAATAAAGCTATTCAAAGATGATTTTCATTTCTAAGAGTAATAAAAATTCCACATTCAGGGGTCGGAGGTTTGTCTCAGTGGTTCCACTGCCTGCTTCACAAATGCAAGGGCCTGAGTTTGATCCCTGGTACCATTAAAAAAAAAGAAAAAAAAATTTCCACATTTGTAATGGAGTGTAAAAACTTGATGTTCTAGGAAGAGTCTGTTTTTAATTTACCATCTAGTTAAGTACTTATGCTGTAGCTAAATTATTCTCTAGCTAGAGTATAAGATGCTACATGTAGATGGAGTTGCTGTTTATTAAGGTGGATCTGAAATATACTCATTATTTTGTAAATAATCAATGCTGTATATAGTAAATTTCATTTTTAAATTATTCATGATAAATTGTCTTTCCATTGAAGTTATGTTTCTGGGCTATATTAATCATGTCAGAAAATAAATAAAAATAAATTCCTTCTTGGCAAATCATATATTATTCCTTAGTTATGTAATTACCCTAAATACTAGAGATTTTAGCTTTCTTTCAATGAAATAAGCACAAAAATGGCAAGTTATGAAAGTCAAGGAATGTTTAGATTTTAAAAAACAAATCTTTCAATGTTTTTATGTTTAACTTCTATGACTTTCTACACCATGTATAGAATTGGGATTTTATTATCATTATCATTATTATTAATTAATTTATCTTTTTTAATATATGAATGCCTTTTATTCTTTTAATCTAAAAACCAGGAAAACTCAACACACACTCTAGCCCAGGCCCCAGCCTCTCTGTGGAGGTCTCCATAAGCATGGGAAGAGCCTCAGTCTCCCACTCCAAGGTTAAACTAACTTTGTGGATCTTTTTTTTTTTTTTTTTGATACCGGGGATTGAACTCAGGTCCTTGTGCTTGCAAGGCAGGCCACTGAACCGCTTGAGCTAAATCCCCGGCAAACTTTGTGAATCTTAATCAGTCACTTTTAAAGTGGAACAAATGACCCCCAAATTTAGTAACATAATATTTGATATTACATATTTCCACAAGTTAAGAATCAAAGATTTATATGTTGCTCGGTGGCTCTGGCTCAAAATACTTGATTCTTGGAGGTGACTTGTCAACAGGGCCTACATATATCTGAAGGATTGGCTGAAGGTGGTAGGATGAACTTCTAATCCCATTCATATTGGGTTTTGGCGATTTTTGCTTACTTCCTCATTGTCATTTTTTGCAAGGCCCATTGGTAGACAGTCCAAAAGAAAGCAGCCAAGACAAGCTATAATCTTTATAACCTAATCTCAGGAGTGGCATCCCATCACTTAATATATTATTGTTTGAAACCAGTTATAATAAAGGGTTAAAGATTAATTCTATACATTGGCCCCTATGTTGTTTTTTTCCTCAAAGCAAGTTGAGACCATTAATTCAAGATCACTAGAGTCAAAATGAAAGTTTTACACATCCAGTACTTTAAATAAGGACTATAAGTATAGTTTTAGCCATGTAGAGCCCCCCTGCTTTGCATACACCTTGAAAAGACACTTACCATTTACTAGTCATAGATAAGAAAACTCCTGAGACCACGAAACTCCAAATTGCTACCATCTTTCCTAGCTCTGTGATGCATGGATTTCTTGCTGCATTTATGAGTGACATTTCTTAGACACATAAATCCTTCTCTAGTTCTCCCCTGGGTGTTTTCTTCTCCCACTCTGGGTAGGGGACTGTGTTACAGACTCTGAAAGGTTTCTTGCTTGGAAATTCTCTGGTCCAAGCACAGTACCTGGAACTACTGTCATATCTTGATCATGTCTTTTCTTTAACTAGTCCCCACCTCCTCAAAATCACTACACCAGTCACTCAGGATAGCCCACACTCAGGACACGGGGTTAAGGGGTTACAAGAAGAGCATATACTGGTGAAGGTAGAGTTCACTGAGGCAGTTGCAGGGGTTGCCTACTTTGGTCCCCTCCCTAGTCCCCAAAGATTTCCATCTCTCTGAGATACCAGACAGAATTCCTAGTCTACTGTTTGTATGCAAGGTGGCGCTGAGAAGCACAGTGTGAGGCTGAACCTGCATGTTCTTGTGTCACTTCCCCATATGCCCATGTCACTGTGAACATGGTTGCTGTGGCACGGGGCACAGAGATAGTGATAGCTAACCTCATCTTCAGGCTGGGCCCCTGTGGTGGTGAGGGAAGCCTTGTTTCCAGGCAGGAATCATCTATTAGATGATGGTGGTATCATCTGTTAGACCCTGGGGTGCTTGGTAGGGGCTCTGTCGGACCCAGGCAGCATAGTTACCTGTTGTGACGGCTCCAGTAGTGGAGCCACAGGTCTGTTTGACTGTCCCTCCAGGAGATGTGGACTGGGAAGGTTTCTGAGTCACCACAGGCTATAATGTGGCTCCAGCCAGGGCGGTCCAGTGTGCTTTTATTGCAGAGATTTTCTTCACTTTCCGAGTGGGCTTCAAATTTTAATTGAGAAGCCTCAGAGAGGCTCTCCTTGCTGTTCACTTCTGCTCTATCTTCTGGGGCTCATAACCATGGCCTTTATGGTCCCTCAGCACCTCTGCAATGTGGATTCAGATACGGAGGCCTGAGAGGTTTGCTCCAGTGGGGTGTGGCCCACCTTAGTTACCTTTTTAATTATCTTTTGAGAGTCAAGGTCTTGTTCTGTTGCTCAGGTTGGCTCTGAATTTCTGGGCTCAAGCAACCCTCCTGCCTCAGCCTCCTGGGTAGCTGATACTTTAGGTGTGAGCCACCACTGTACCTGGCTAAGGGACCCTCTTTGACGTTATTTTTAGATTAAAGAATTGAAGACTTTTAATCTATTTTCTTGTCCTTTGCTAGATACTCCTAAGAGGACCCTAAAAATGAATTTTTGTGCTGTATTAAAAGCTAGATAGTCTTAGTTAAAAGAGAAATGTTCTTGAATTGCTTTTTAGCAAAATAAGTATAATACTCATCTCTTATTGTTCTTTGTTCTTTATCTGAAAAGATACACTTACTATTTTAGATTGTGTTTCTTGGATGTGTTTTCTAACGAGCTAATCTTTTTTAAAATTGTTTTTTAGCTCCTCGCTCCAGACATTCGACATGAAAGAAATGTGATTTTGCAATGTGTTCGGTACATCATCAAAAAAGACTTTTTTGGACTTGATACAGATTCTACAAACACTGAAGATGTATATTTGCCATCAATTTCAGTGCGTAATTGAGACGTTATAAGACAGCAGTGTCCTCACGTTAGTGGAGGAAAGCCAAAACCCCCTTTTTTCCCCCCAAAACTGGATTAGTAATTAAATTTTATGTAATTTTAGTAATTAAATATTATGTTGGATTTTCAGATGTTTTCTTTGATTCTATGCAAATAAATACATGACTGATTTTTTTTTAAGACTACATATTAGTGGGATTGTATATGGTATTTTCTGGGAGAAGTTTTTTTTTTATTTTATTCATTTTTACACATTGGTCTCATATAAGGAAGATTGCTACTGTACCAGTTAAAAATTGAAAATACTACTAGGGCCAGGGACTTAGCTCAGCAGTTCTCCTGCCTGCCTTGCAAGCACAAGGACCTGAGTTCAATCCGCAGTATAAAAAAAAAAAAAAGAACTGAAAATCCCGGTTTAAGAACATGGAAGACAGTTTTTTAAGTGCTTAATTTGACTAAGCAAAATTAGGCAGAGAAGTAGTTTTTCAATGCAGAAAATCCACTTCTTGACTGTAACAAAAAAATTTTTTTTTACTGTAACGACTATATTTTTTTTTATTGAGTTTATTGGTACATTTTAGGTATACAGTACAGTTACATTCATTACTGAGATCTTGTACCTTTACATGACAGGTCTTGGTTCTCATTTTTCCCCTTGTCCCTGCCCTCCCTTCACCCCCTCCTCCCCTCCCCATTTACAAACACTTTAATTCCATTTTTTCATTTTCTCACATTTTTTTTCTTTTCCCTTTTGGGACGTTGTGCTTGCGAGGCAGGTGGCAGAACGACTGAACTAAATCCCCAGCCCCAACAATGGGAAATATTTTAAATGAACTGGATCAAATTGACATAGAAGTTCTTGAAATTTAAATTTTTCTTGTTTATATTACTATCTCTACTTACATAGTTCAAATATTGAATATTTGAAATGATAATATAGATATAACCTCTCTAAATTTAATTGGAGTGCTTTTTGAAAATATAATTTAGAATCATGTATTTGTTTTTCTATGAAAAACTTAAGTATGCTTAATGATATTCCATTCATTTCTTATGGCAGAAAGAGTAGTTGGTGAAATAGTGTGAATAATCATCTGTTTTAAGGTTTAGTTAAAATTTGTCTTAGAAGGTAATAATTGAACCCTGTAAATGTTTTTAAAATAGATGAAAGCTACTGAGATTTTTTTTGTCTCTTCTAATACCAGGGAATTTGATCTTATGTTGTAGCATTTTGCTAGCTATAGCTATAACTGTATCTTTTTTGATATATACCTAAAGGGGGCTAGTTTTTTAAAACCAGAATTTTTTTTAGTTGAAAAATTAGTTTTGTCTGACATTATGATTACTGAAGTTCATTAATCTTGCCTGCAAGAGAAGGTAGGGAAGCAAACAGCAGATTAGTACTGTTTTTCTCTAGAATCCTGGAATACCTGACATGTAGCAGTAGTAACATCCACAGACCTGGGTTTAAGATTCATGTTTAGTTGTTGTTCTGTTTCACTCTACTCCACTATCTCCCATATTTTGGAAATCATCTGCTCAGTGCATTAATTAAAACACTTTATGTAACACTGCTGAGAGCCTACTTCTGTGCCTCTACTGTACCTGTATTAAAGGTATAAAAACGTAAGGCCTTGCCTGATTTCAAGGAACTCAGATCAGAATTTATATATTCAGTGAAGGGACACCACACATCTCATCAGGGTGAAGTGATTCATATTACACTGAGTTTGTAGTATTTTGAAATATGATGCAGTCTGCAGTTTTATCACTAGTTATCATGCAAATCCCACAGGCTTAAAGTTTACAAATGCATCCACGGATTCCTGGACTACTTTCATGCCCACCACTGTCCAGGAATGCGCTTTAAGGTGCTGTAATTTATATTGTATGGACAACTTTATATCCAATATTTCTTGTTTTCTAATAAATGTATAAGACCAAAATGCTTCTCTGAGTATTGTCTTGGCTATGTGAATCTTTAGCTGTGGAGACTATTGTTTCTAATGAGTAATTTCATTATTTTGACCTAGGAATTACTTAAAAGTGTGTTTAAAGTTTCCAGTTGGATAGAATATAGCCTCTGTAGTTTGTACTTTAGGGAATACCTGATCAATGTTTGTAAATATTCTATGAGTTGTAGGGGTGGGGAGCGTTGTTTTTGATGTGAGAGGTTTTTTTTTATTTAGCTTGATAATTGTTCAAACCTAAATTTCTATCTTATTGCTGATTTTACCAACATTTCAGAGATATGAAAGCATCATATGATTGTTTATAATTAGTATCTTTTATAAGTAGCACTCTACTTTGTTCTAAAGTGATTTTGAGGCCAGCCTGAACTACATAGTCAGACCTTGTCTCAAACAACAATAACAACAGCAACAAAAAGACCATAAAAGGTAAATTTAAAAAAACAAAACAAAACGAGTAATGGGGCAGGGATTTAACCCAGTGGCACTGTTTCTGTCTTACAAACTCAAGGTCCTGAGTTCATTCCCAGCTCAAAACAAAAGCTATTGGTACCCTGATACTGTTCGTTCTTATATTCCTTCACTGTTGGGATTCTGTAGTTATTTTTAAATATATTTCAAGGGATTTGGAATAAAAGAGGAAGTCAACTGTTTTAATACAGATTTAACTGAATCTTTTGTTGTACAAGTATTTCTCTTATTGGAGCAGTAATCTTTGTTTAAAATATTTTTCTACTTTTAATGGCTTTTTATAAAAGCATTTCATTTTGGAAAATTTCAAACATATAAAAAAGTATTCAAAGTAATGTACCCCTTTAAATCAACATGTGCCTTCAACACCATATTAGTCTGTGGCTAGTCTTGCTTTCATTTCAGTGCAGTTTACCCATTTCTCTCCACCTACCCCACTGCCTGAGATGATTTTGAAGCAGTTATTTCATCCTCATGCATTTCAGTACGTATCTGTAGAAGATAGTCTTTTTTTTCAACTATCATATTCATTGCTTAATAACATCAAGTATCCAGTCAAGCAAACTAAATTCTTGTAACTTTTTAAGATAACATAGTTAAGATCAGCCTGTAGCATTTGTACCTTGCTTTATATATCAGAAAAGCCATCAGAAAACTGTTTTGGACCTATTTAAAAGCAGAACTCATTCATTCTATTTACCAACACTATCGCCTTCCTCATTTCTATTAAACAATTGACATTTTGAATTCTGAAACAGAGATGAGAGGCTGACTGGCTACCTATTTTGAAATAATTCACAGTTCAAAGTGGTGACAAGAGCTGAAGAGTTCCTGGCTGCAGCTGGAAGGAAGTCTAGCAGATACTGGGTGGGAGAGGAGGTAAGGGAAACCATATTGACGAACAGGTTGGGACAGTTTTTCTTGTGATATTCTTTGAAACTCCATGGCTCATTTTTTTAAGCTTTTGAAGGGCTATTCATTCTTCTGATCCTGACAAATAAGTCTGGAGTAGACAGAATGGTCACTCAGGGAGAGAAGCCAGGGAAACTGGAAGAAACAACTGCTTTAGGGACCAGAATTGCTCCAGCACAGTCATCTGTAGCATTACTGGAAACTTCTTGTGGGGAGGCAGACGGAATTTAATGATGATGGCATGTTATACCATGTGATTTTTCTCCCCTCTGCAATGAGTTTTAATTAACTCAGTGACCTGTTTGAGTAGAAGTCAGTGTTTGCTGAGTAGGAAGATGGGTAGTGTTATAGAAGTAGCCCCAGAGTTGTGTAATTTGGGCTAAATTTCTTGCTTTTTGACCTTAATTGGGATTGGGATGTTTTTTCTCTGCGTTTTCTTCTGCTAGGAGGCTTGGCTCTTCTCTGAGCCTGAAAAGCTCTCCCCTTTTCCTTATTGTCTTATTGCTTGCTGTAGCCTGGGTCCCTACCAATCTTCACTTCCTCAGGAAACCTTTCTTGACTTGCCTAAGGGAGTCAGGCCCTCTATTTACACATATTCACCATCAAGCCCTACCTTCTCAGCAGTTACCACAGTTGCATTGTTATACAGTGATACCTCGGTTCATGAATGCTTTTGCTTACAAGCAATTTGGTTCACAAACAGAAGCATTTGGCAGAATTTTGTTTTTGTGAACTCTGCATCAGGTGATGAACATGACTGTGGTCATCTTTCCTGCATGAACATATAACCATATTTTCTAGAATAGTGGAATTAATTAAATTCATGAACCCAGGAACCGCAGTATTTACTTGTGAGCTAACTTGATTTGCCTCTTTCTATTCCACTCTAAAGTCTGTGTCTTTACTGTGTAAAAAGACATATCTGTTTGTTTTCTGTTATGTTCCAGCCTCAAGCACTGTCTGTTGAACGTGCAGCAATGAGTGGGGTCAGGGCAGCAAAGGCAAAGTTGATGTATTAGTCAGTTTTCCATGGTGATAACGAAATCCCTAAAGCTGTGTAACTTAAAAGGTAAAGAGGTTTATTTAGTGCATAATTTCAAGGCTAAAGGGCATGGCACCAATTTTGACTCGGACCTCCTGGTGGCTAACATACAGGATAGCAGGAATACAAAGGAGACAGAGATTCATAAAGTTACGACAGTAGTTGGGGGGCACTCAGACTTCTGATGAATGGACCCTGGGCAGTTAGCGCTGGTGTCTGGGGGTGGTGAGGGTGGCAATGAGCTGGTTCAGGAAATGCTGGAAAAAACAGAAGCAACTGGTGATGGTATAGCCAACTGCTGGTACTAAATGAGCTGTTGTAGTCGTAGTCACACAAGACCAGGAAGCCAGTAGCTTCCCTGTCTTCCGCGATGTCTCCTATCTGCATGGATTTAGCGCACGGATTAAGAGTCCCAGCTCCAACCTCACAGAGGATGGAAATAGGCTTTTAAAAGGCCCTGCTGGTTGTTTGACTAAAGGTTAGAAAGTGAGAGGAGAGAATGACCCCTGACTGGAAGGCAGGTGGGGAGTTGCCTGAGGGACTTCAGCATTAATTTAAACTTAATATCTTTCTTTGGGTCTGGGAGGGGAGCAACTATGAAGACTGACTTGGAAATCCTGTGGTATTATATTATTGCTCAGAACCACAGGTGATTACCTGGCCTATTTTGTGGCATATGGGATAGAGGAGGAAGAAACATGTCACAATCCAGGTGGATAGGG